GAGTCTAAATTAAGGGACCCAAGGGGTAACAAGAATAAGGCTGGTTCTGATACAGCATGTGGGGGAGGCATGGACCTTGGTTTTGTCACCCAGAGGATGCATGTATGAGTCTAGCTGATGGACCCAGTGGCAGACTGAAGCCCCAGCAGCAGAAAACCGCCGCCCCCTAGTGGTAAATCCTGGCATCTTCTGACACATTGTGAGTTAGAGGTCTCATTCACATAAAGTAGGGGAACTAGCCATGCTGTTTACATTTATAACTTTCCCTTTCACCCTCTAATAATCCACCAAGATGTCCTCTTAAATAAAGGAACTATTGCCCCAGATCCCCACCTTTACTACTGCAGAGAAGCGGCAGACATTTTGAAATGGCATTTCTATAAAATCTTACATCAAACCTCAGGGTAGGAGACCTTCCCTTCTGATCTGATCTGATCACTGTGGGCTCCCCCCACCCCCTTATTTATTTATTTTTATCCTTTTTCTTTGTCTCTCCATTCCTCATTGCGGATAATTATATAACCCATTTAATGTCTGTCTTCCTATTTGGAAAGCAAGTACAGGGGATAGGAATAGAGATTGTCTTAACTGGGTATCCATTCACAAATTTGGCAATTATTATGGGGTGTCCACCATGCCAGGCCCTGTATCAGGTGTGTGTCGGAGGGGGCAGGGTGTAACCATTTTTCAAACACTGTCTCTGATTCTATGGAACTTATATTCTAGCGGGGGAGAGACGGGTGACAAATATGTGGTATTGCAAAGTGGTGGTGGATGCTCAGTGTATAATGAAGCCGGGGAAGGGGGAACTTCTGCTCCAAGTAGGGTGCTCAGGAACTTTTCTCTGACCCTTTGACATTTGAGCAGGGGTGAAAGGAAGGGACTGGGGGATCTCTGAGAGAGCTGGGGGAGTCCAAGGTAAAGGCAGAGGCCCAGAGGGGAGCATATGCCCAGCTAGCTGTCTTCTGAACAGCACGAAGTCAGCGTGGCAGCAGGGAACCGGGGCAAGGTCAGGCTGGAAGGTAATGGGCCAGAGCATGAGTGACCTTAGGCTCCAGCTTAGATTCTGGGTGGAATAGGGAGCTGGTGGAGCGTTCTGAACAGTGACAGATCGTTTTGTAGATTAGAATCACAGGCTGCTGCACGGAGAAGAGCCTGAAGAGGCCTGGGAGGGGATGTGTGGGGAGAGCTGGGAGCCCAGTCACAGACTGGAGGAGGGATTCTGTGTCCTGAGGCAGCGATGCAGGGGTGAGGGGAGTGCTGATTCTGGAGCTATGCTGGACTTGAAGGCCAACAGAACTGCTCTGTTGACACAAATGGTCATTAGTCCATTTTTGTTTGAGTGAATGTTGAAACTCCTGTGTTAGAACTTCCACTTTGCCTGTTGCCCTCTGAATTTTCTGGACTGTCTTCCGAGAGCCTCCATGGCCCTTCCAAACTTGCTGAGCTTCCCAAGCACACATGGCAGCTGGCCTGTCCGGGTTATGCGTCTCCATCACTAGGTCACCGGGAGGGTCCTGTCTCACTGCTTATTCCTGGTCCCTAGGAGCAAGTCCGATATACAGAAATTGCTTGGCAAATATTTGCTGGGTGGTGACCGGATGAATGGCTTGCTCTGCTCCTCTGAGCTTTGGCCTCTGTCTCCTGCCCAATCTGAAGGGCTCCAAGCTGAAGCTGGACTGCGTCTTTCTCTAACGCCAGAACTTCCTTTCTCTCATCCTCCAGCCCTGGCCTGGGCCTAGTTGAGGCCCAAGAGGTCACTTGAGGCCTGTAGTAGCTGCCCTGACTCTGCAGACCCTGGCTCAGAGCATCTGTCAAGATCAAACTTTCAGTTTCTACAGTGATCCTGTGAACTCCCACCTCCCTCCCCCACAGCTGAGGCAACACAGCCACTCAGTGGTAATTTTTCTAAACTTTTGTTTATTTTATAGCAATTGTCATGATCAGAGAAGTAAATAACACATTTAAAAACCTTCTCAGGGCCAAAGGATACCAGAGTATTTACAAACACATGGGGAGGGGCCAGCAAGACATAAGGGTCTGGGGCTCTGCACTGGGGTTCCACCCAGGCCCTGCCCGTCCTGAGGCAGGCGTGGAGGCCAACGCCAGCCACCAGGACTGTCCTGCCAGCCACAGAGTGGGCTCAGGAACCATCGGGCAGGCTTGGGGCTCTGTGTAGTGGGCCTGGTAGGCAACCCTCTAGCTGACCTATGGCCCTACCTCCCACCCAGGGAGCTCCCCACACCCCACAGGCCAGCTCAGAGGGGCCTCTGGGAAGCACCAAAGGTCAGGGGGCAGGGTGGGGGACACAGGGGCTGGGGCAGAGATCAGGGATGACCTGGCCTGCCCGGGTGGGACAGAGACACGCATACACATACACACTGTACCTTCACAGAACCGTGAGGGGGGAGATCTGTGTGCGTGTGTTTTTTGTCTTCTAAGTCTTTATGTCTACGGTGTTATTTTTTGCTATTATTTTTGTTTCTTCGACAGTGACATAAACTGAGGTAAACATCTGTGACCAACACCTCTCCTAAGGGGCAAAGGGTCGCACCCCAACCAGCAGAGGAGGTGGCAGCAGAGACCTGACCTGGCTCTGGTCAGGCTGGTCGCTGCTCCTCTCGGTGCCTCTGAGAATGAGGGGGCCAGGCTACATAACTACAGTCCCTTCCGACGCTAACGTCCTAGATACTACAAGGAGGGAGAAAACTCTCAAACAGGATCTTCACGGAGGGGTGGGGTGCACGGCGAGGGACATCTACTGTGGAATCTCGCTTCCTTGTTATTGCAGGAGAGATCAGGATGTCGAGAGGCCTAAGGCAAAAGGAGAAGTCGCGGCTGGGAGAGGTGGGCCCGGCTGGGCTCCAGGTGGGCCAGGGGCAGTGACCAGTGATGGGGCCTTCTCTGAGACATGGCCCTTGGAGGGAGGAAGGGGTTGCTACTTACCTGGCATGTGGAGGGCCCCATGCCCACAGGGGAGGTGGGGTCTCGAGAGGAGAGGGCACATTGGGGAGAGTGGGACCAGGCCCTGGGGCAACCGCACACTGTTTGTAAACTGGACCCGGGCAGGGCAGGGGGACCTATAGCCCTTTTGCACGGTGGGATTGAGGGGTGAGTGGAGAGGTGGGGGCTCCAAGCTGGAGGGTGGTTGGTACTCCCTCTAGCCAGCCTGGTCCTTCAAGGAGCCCCCCAAATGCCCCAGAACCCCAGGATGGACCCTGGGAGGGTGGCCTAGGACGGTGGGTGGGGCCCTGCCAGGCGGAGGGAGCAGCCTCACCCATGTTGAGGTTATTGCAGGGGTCCCTGGCTTCCCCCAGAGGGCAGGGAGGGGTCATGAGGGAGCGCTGGGTGAGGCCGGTTCCTCAGATCTAGCTGCTGTCAAAGGGCCTGAACACCCTGCAGGCGTCTCAGAGCAGAGTCCCTGAGGGTGGCGGTGTTTGCAGGCCATGGCGCCATGACAGCTGCCTGGTGAGAAACCTGTGTGGGCACACTTGCAGGGCATCTGGATGCACCCACATCTGCACTTCCCATGCACACCTCTTCACACTCACCCCCGTATACTTTCATGGCCCCCTGTGCTCTCACTGAGATGCAGCCCTTACCCCCTGCAGAAGCCAGCACCAGGGGCCTGGGAGCCTGGGGAGGGGGTGGGCTGAGTTTCAACCCCAGTAGAAATTCCTGGCACAAATCACTTCCTGCCTGCTAGAAGCCAGTGTCTAGGCTGGGGCAGGAAGAACTGGGAGGGCTCTGGATTTGGGGAGTGTGGCAGAGAGAGTTGGGCAGGTATGGCTCCACTCTCACTCTGCCCTAGGGATGTAGGGGCAGCTGAGAGACCCTTCCCTGGAGCCCTTCTGTCCCAGGAAGCTGTCTGGACAATCCCTGGGGATTGGGGTCACAGGTCAGGAGGGGGCTGCTAGAGCTCCTCCTCTCTGTGGCTGTGTCCCAAGGCAAGGTGCCCTCCCTCCCGGGCTCATCTCCTCATTGGCAGGAGGGGCGTGCGTCACTAGGGACCTGGCACACACTTGCGGAGCATCCAGATGGGCGCTAGCTTTTCCATGACCTGGCCTCTCCTCTCCAGCCTCCAGGAAAGGGGCAGGACGTGACTACCCTGGGTCCATTGCCTTCGTCCCAGACCGTGCCCAGGGACCTTAAGCCCCTCAACTTCCCAACACTTTGGTCCCTTTCTGTGCCCAGGGTGGGAAGGGGGCAGAGTGGGGTGGCCAGGACCTGGTTAGCCTGCGGGATGATCTGCCAGGGGGTGCAGAAGGCCAGGAGCAGCAGTGGGGGTTCCAGGGCTCAGGGAGGTGTGGGGTCCGGCCGCAAGCTCCCTTGCTCCGGGCGTCAGGAGGGGCCTCTGAATCCTGGGGCCTGCGGGGCTTGGCCCCTCCAGGCCGCGCGAGGTCTTTCGGTGGCTTTCTCACCAGCCCGCGCGGGCCGGGCCGGGCCGGGCCGAGTCGGGCGCCTGGGCCCGCGATCTTGCCTAGTCTACCTCTACTCCCTCCTGCCGCCGCGGCGCCTGGTCGATTTCCCACCGCAGCGGCCGCCAGAACCGGCTTGGGGCGGGCCCAGGGCGACTCCCCGCCCCCAGCCTGGCTGCGAGCTCACCGCCTCGGCGCGAGGGCGGCGGGGGGGGGCCAGGCGGAGGATCCCGAGGG